GATGTTATCTAAGGAATGCTGCTCCTAGACAGCCTGCATGGATGGCCCTTGACGCCCATTCATGTTTTGCAGCCAGAACCCTTGCAAAGCCTGTGGTGAACTTCAGATCGGGACAAGCAGAACACAGCCTGCTGTGCTGAACACCACCTCCTGAGCCACACAGATGCCAGGGTTCCAGGCCCAGGCCTATGTGGTGACAGCAGCTGGAGACAGGAGACCGTGTATTTCATCCGTTCTGTCCCTTCCTAACACAGGAGCCTAATGGGACATGAGTTTCCCAGAACATAAGCCCAAGACCGCCACCTCCCCTCAGCCAGGCTCCCAAGCCTGCTGTAAGCAAACACCCCCCTCAACACACACACACACACACACACACACACACACACACACACACACACACACACACCAGCACTAGGAGTATGCCTGTACGGAAGGGGCTGTGGGTTCTAGGAACCTGAGCTCAAAACGACCCCAGAAATGATTTCAAAGGCAAGGCTGCCATCTGGTTTGCTTGCGAGGCCCAAGCATTGTGCTATCAGGGAAGCCTGGGAGCAGCAAGGGTGGACCAGTGAGCCCGGCAGGAGGCTTGTTGAGGACAGAAGGGCCGAACCCAGGTCAGGCCACATGGCTAACGGACTTGCCTTTGTTTTACTGAGGAGAATGCATCACTGATCCCTTGAACCCAGCTGTGGGAAGGGTAACGGAAGCTGTGGACACAAAATGGTTTCCTTCGTCTCGCCGAGCGACATAAGCCAGTCTCAAGAAGACAAATTTAAAACTCTAACAAGTGGGTATTTGTGTGTGTGTTTGCACGTTATAAAAACCAGAAAGGTAGCCGGGAGGTGGTGGCGCACGCCTTTAATCCCAGCACTCGGGAGGCAGAGGCAGAGGCAGGTGGATCTCTGTGAGTTTGAGGCTGGGGGCTGGACCGACAGCCTCCAAAACAATACAGAGAAACCCTGTCTGGTAAAACCAGAAAAAAAAAAAAAAAAACCAGAAAGGGAACCATGGGAAGGGAAGAGGAGAACTTGGGGGGGGGGATGAGAAGAAAGTAACGAACAATGGAATGAGACGCAGATCAGGGCTGCAGAGACGCAGCCGCCAAAAGCACGGGCTGCTCTAGCGGGGGACCTGGGTTCGGTTCCCTGCATGCCTGTGGGGGCTCACAAGCATCTGTAACAACAGGTCTGGGGATCTGAGGCCCTCGGCCAGCCTCCTGTAGCACCGGGCTTTCACACAGTGCACATACATACATGGATACAAACACTCACATACATAAATTAGCAGACTTAAAAAAAAAACCAGAACGGGCAGACAGAGAACGGGCTGAAGGGGAAGGGAAAGGAGGAGGAGGGCAGTGTTCAAAACTATAATGACACATGTATGAAGATGAACTTAGTATGTTCACCTATATGGTTAATTTAAAAAGTTGCTATTCAGCCGGGATTTGGTGGCACACACCTTTAATCCCAGCACTGAGGAGGGAGAGGCAAGCATCTCTGAGTTCAAAGCGAGCTGGTCTACAGAACTAGTTCTAGGACAGCCAGAGCTACCCTGTCTCCAGCCAGAGCTAAACATAGAAACCCTGCCTTGAAAAACAAAAGACAAAAAAAAATTGCTATCCTTTAAGGGCACGCTTTCCTGGACACCCATGGAATCTTCACACACCCGGGAAACGAGAATGAGGAAAATACCACTCCCTGGGAAGGAAAAGGCTGAACTGGGGTGGTGGTAGCTCTAGCATCGGGCCCAACCATGTGACCTGGGGGACATAAGGAGACTGAATGTCCTGACCTCTGTTAAGAGCCTGCCACCCAATGAGAGAGCGGCCCCCAGAACCAACCAACCAACCAACCTGGCAAGGAGTCAAAGCAGCTTATAGAACGGCTCTGAGCCTACAGTCACAAGCAAGGCCAGGATGGTGTGGGCAGCCGGACTGCGCTGGTCCCATATACCACACACTGCTCGCTGACTGGCCTACTGAGAGTCATGGACCCCAGCAGGCCGATGAGGTCTCTGCCTGGGATTCAGGGCTGGGTTCTGCCGACTGGACAACCATTCCCACGTGTGTGACATGAGATTCTGCTCTGTAGAAAAAGCACCAAGACATGACACAAAGGACAACTGCCTTGTTGCAAAGGTGTCCCAAGTGAGGCCCAGCTTCCCTTGGGCTCTGGGAAATCCAGATTTACTGGACAGGTGTCACTAGAGACTGTCCCTGAAGCAATCGTCCCAAGGAGCCAATGACCATTCCCAGCAATATCAAAACAGCGCTCTGATGAAACATGAAAATTTGCAAAAATGGAAACAATCTCTCGATGAGAAAACGAATCTAAAGCATTAACGATAATTCAACAACACTAATACCGTGTAAGGTGATTGCAACTTCAAAGACGTTTTGTTGTGTGTTAGATTGGCAAACATCAAAAAGCTAGATGCTATACTCCACTGGCAAATCAGATCAGGCACTTTCATGACCTAGGACGATAGCTCCATCTCTCAGGAGGAGGAGCTGTCCAAATGGGAAGTAGCATCCCTTAGCATGAAGCCTGTTCCAGAAAATTACGCCTCACATGTGTTCAGCAGTGTAGCAGATTCTAGGCAGAGAGGGTTGCGTGGGGCCGAAGCATTATTTGTGAAGGAGAAACAACCTTCGTGCCCATGGCTACTTTTCTGTTGCTGCTAGAAGATGTCATGATCAAAAGCAACCTCGGGACCTGCGGATTTGTTACATTGTTACATCTTACCGGGTACAGAGGCCATGATCAAAAGGAAACAGGCCAGGAGCGGAGGCAGAGGCCATGGTTTGCTCCTCCTGGCTAGCTCAGGCTGCTCTGTAAGGACCGGGACCCCCTACCGAGGGATGGGACACACAGCAGGCTGGGATCCTCCCACAGTAACTATTACAAGAAAATGTCCCACAGGCTTGCCCACGAGCCAATCTGATAAAGACATTTTGTTTTTTCAATTGTGGTCCCTTCTTTCCAGGAGACTCTAGTTTGTATTAAGTTGACCAAGCAAAAGAACTAACCAGTACACCAGGAGAGACTAGGTAAAGAAAACTATGATGGTTATAAAATGGGGTACAGTCGAGAATGCGCTGCAGGCTCCAAGCCAGAAGCAGAAGGTATGGTAGCACTTGGGCAAAACCAGACAAGGCAAATCCACCCACACACGCACACCTAACAGCAAACCAAGGGTGGGAAAGTACAGGACTTCATGGATACCCGCTCTCTGTTGGGGGGTACGGAAATGCTCACAGGCCGGTAAGGGGCATGGTGAGACAAATCTGGGGCCAAGCGTGGGCTACAACTGAGCTACAATCGTATGGGTAGTGATACAAATGGCTATTACCAGTGAAAAGAAACCCAGTAAACTCTTGACGGGCCCACAGTGAAGCGGGAGGGTCAGCCTAGAAAATCTCGTTAGCCAGGTGGGGGCAGCACACGACTTTAGTCCCAGCATTCAGGAGGTAGAGGCAGGTGGATCTGAGTTCAAAGGCCACCCTGGACAGGACAGAGTTGCCACACAGGGAAACTTTGTCTTGAAAATCCAAAACGAGAAAACAAGAAATCACCTTTTTTAAAGTATGCCTGTGTGGGTCTGTGTACATGAACACAGTGCCTAAGAGGCCGGAAGAGGGAATTTGACCGCCTGGAACTAGTTACAGGTGCTTGGGAGGCACCTCAAGTGGGGCTGGGAATCAATTTGGGTCCTCTTTTGAGAGCAGTAAATACTCTTAACTACTGAGCTATCCCCCCACAGCCCCCCCAAGAGGAGACTTAAAATGATTTATTTTTAGTTTGTATGTATGAATGTTTTGCCTGAGTGTCATGCATGTGCACCCACATGCATGCCTCACGTCTGTGGAGGCCAGAAGAGGGCTTCAGATCCTCTGGAACTGGAGTTTCAGATCTGTGAGATGCCATGTGGGGCTTGGGGAATACACCTGAGTCCTGTGGAGGAGCAGCAAACATTGTTTTGTTTTTGTTTTGTTTTGAGATAGGGCTTCTCTGTGTAACAGCTCTGGCTGTCCTAGAACTAACTCTTACAGACTAGGCTGGTCTCGAACTCACAAAGATCTGCCTGCCGGCCGGGCATTAATAATATATACCTTTAATCCTAGCACTTGGGAGGCAGAGGCAGGCAGATCTCTGTGAGTTGGAGGCCAGCCTGATCTACAGAGCAAGTTCCAGGACAACCTACAAAACAATAGAGAAATCCTGTCTCGAAAAACAAAACAACAAAAAAAATCTGCCTGCCTCAGCCTCCCAAGTGCTGGGATTAAAGGTGTGCGCCACCACCTCGCAGCAGCAGTAAACATTTTTAACACTGAGCTATCTCTCCAGCCCCAGGGGGGGCGGCGAAAAATCACTTTTTACAGTTGCCTTAGTACCAAACAATTCAGTCAAAATTCACCAGTGAGGACTACACCAGGGGACTGGAGTAGCTAAGCACAAGGTTGTGTCATCTCAAATACCCCACAGAGGACTTAAAATCACAAGGGGGAAAGATACCTTCTCGGGGGTGAAATGCATCCAGTAACATTGACGGAAATGTCAGCTCCCAATCACCAATACTAGAACTAGTGTCGCCTAATAAATAGGACCCTGCATCATCCCAGGGAAGACCACCAGACAAACTCAAGTAGAGGGTGTCCCACAAGACAGCTTCCCGGGACTCTTCAGTAACTCCGTGTCAGGAAGGACACTGGCAGCTGTTTGGACTGAAGGAGACTCGGGGATTTACGGAGTTTTCATGTCATTGTACTCTTTAACTGGATCCTGGATGTAAAACAAGAGCCCTCACCGACTGGGCGCACAGGTGTGCGATGCCGTCCTTCGGGCATGCCATGGCTGTGGTCCGTCCGGTTGCTAAAATCGCTTTCCAGAGGGAGAAGAGACAATATCCACTCCTCCCCCTAAGGATGTGTAGTTCACTCCGGGGGACCACTGAGTCTATTAGGCTTCCTTACAGAGCACGGGTGAGGGGTTACTTACTGGGTGTTAGTGTTCTTCTCAGACAGCGCTGTATCGGGATGAGAGCGAGCCTCCCCGCAGCTGAGCAGACGGAACTTCTCCACAGCCTCCAGGGCCTAAATGTTCTAGCCCCTCCCCTAGACCTTGTGGGATTTAGGCAGATTTGCATACACCAGGTGTTGGAAGCTGCTGGCTACTCAGGTGAGGTCTTGTAAGCCTCCCCACCCTTCCATGAAGGGATGGACACAGTCAACAAGCCCAGCTGGGATGCTCCTTCCGCAAGTGGGAGCAGCTGGACGCAAGATGGTGGTTGCTCTGCTCAGAGGGTAGTCGTGGACAACACGCCCTCTTGGACTCCCAAAAGTCAGGCCTATTAATGTTCCATCGCACAGGGACGCGGTGTTCATGAGACTCTCCCCTTACTCGTGATTTATAGGCAGCCAGCAGTTGCCAGGAGGGAGGGACTCAAGAGTCCCCTCCCTGGGGATAAATTGGCAGTTAATGTAAGGAAATACAAGGGAACTCGGTCCCTAATGGACTGACTCATGTGGGTCATTAGGGACACTTGGTTAGCTCTGGTTGACAGCCCTGTTAATTCCATGCCCTGGAGGACAGACCAGGACTAGAATTACTGGGAACTAGGCATCGAAGACGTGGTTTTGATGCCCAAATGCTTGGGCCAAATAGCACTGTGCTCACAGGAGTTCCGACAGAACTGGGTTTGGGCTGTGCACACAGCTGCTATGATATTCGGTGCTGCAGCAAAACAGCAGCAGCCGCTCAATCAGTAAACTGCTTGTCTTGAAAGTACAGAGACTTCTATTCCGTCTCCAGGCATGGCGGCATGTGGTTGTAACTCTAGCACTGGGAAGGGGAAAGGTGGGTGGCTCTCTGGCCCGCCAGCCTGTTCTCCTGGGTGGGCTCTGAGGCTGTGATAGTCTGGCAACAGCAAAAATGGGGTGCCGCCTGAGCAATGCCACCTAAGGCTGTCCTCTGGCTCCACAGGCACACACACGTGTGCACACGTGCACACACGTGTGTGCATACCGCCACCACCCCCACACACCTGCAAAAGCTGATTCAGCAGGGATGTGGGCATTGGTATAAGACTTTACTGACTTTTGAGCCGGGCCTTGGTGGAGCACGCCTTTAATCCCAGCACTCGGGAGGCAGAGGCAGGCGGATCTCTGTGAGTTCGAGGCCAGCCTGGTCTACAGAGTTCCAGGACAGCCTCCAAAACAATACAGAGAAACCCTGTCTGGAAAAACCAAAAAAAAAAAAAAAAGACTTTAAAGACTTTACTGGCTTTTTCTGAGCCCCATAGTAGGACACAGAAGTTTGTCAAGCTTAGAGTAGTCTGTAGATCAGGTTCGTGAAGTACAGCAAAAACAATCAGAAGGCAATGGGAAACAAAAGGCAGAATGGGGGTGGGGTGAGGGGGGCGGCTTGTCTGAGTCACTTGAAATAGATGTCATGAGGTTAGAGTAGGCTGGGGGGAGAAAATCCAGCAGAAGTCAAATTCGGTGTTTATGCGCCACTGGAAGGCCTTAAAGGCTGGGCAAAGGGTTAGAAAGGATAAGTGACCGGGCAGTGCAGATAGAACACTACATCTGTGCCCGCAACCTGCTGAGCCCCCGCCCAACCACCTCTGCTGCTCATGCAGGCACAGCCTGATACTTTCTGGGGGCTCTTTGGGTAGTCTCTGAACACACTGATCGGGGATTTCGTCCCCCAGGAGATGAACGTGTAGATAGATTTTTCTTAGGGCCCCCAGCTCACAACAAAACGACATGGAGACTTAATTATTAATTATTAAAGTTTGGCCTATAGCTTATCCCACTCTCTTATGATTTAACCCATTTATAGTAATGTTTTGTCTCCTGGCTTTTTATGTCTCTTCCATGTTACACCTCCTGTTTCCATGTCCCCTTCTCTCTCATGTGCCTAGATTAATCTCCTCTTCCTCTCTCTGCCCGGAAATGCCACCTAACCTCTTCCTGCCTAGCTATTGGCCATTCAGCTCCTTATTAAACCAACCAGAAGGCAAGTTGGCAGACACATCTTCCCAGTGTACAAAAAGATTGTTCCACTACGGGGATGCTCTCTTGCTCCTGCCCTGGCAGTGCAATCAAGGTTGTATAGTGCACCCTGCTCCTACCCCAAGTCAAATGCAGCCTGGGGGCAAGGTGAGAGACAAGGGCCTCCTGGCCACTCCATCCATCTCCGAACGACATGTACAATTCTCTGGGAGGGCGGGGGAGATAGGGTAAGGAAGACAAAAATGCAAGGGTGTTCTTTTTGTACAGTAATAAACCAAGTTTTCAAAAATAGAAAAAACACTAAGCTTGTCACAGGGGTGGGCAGCTATGCCTAGAGAGTAAGCTGTGCACAAATTACACTGCGGCTAGAAACCGTTCATCCAACCAGCTGTTCGCCCATGAGAAAGGCAGCTGTGGTCAAGAGAGATAGCAGGCAGCCACACTCAGGCCAGGAGATAATCAGGTCCCTGAAGCGTGACTCTAGCCAGGTACAGTAGAGGGCACAGCTATGCTCCCCAGTGACCCTAGGTCAGTCACAACAACAGGAGTCAGTGGGGAGACTCATGGCAGACCAGGAGACAGCAGCAGGACTTGTGAAGAATAATTTGACTGCAGAGGCCTGGTGTAATGCCTTCTACCCATGCTACACTCAACACTGATCTTTGGAGGAAATGACAGTTCTCTTGTTAATATTTTTCTTTGGGAATCCCTTAGCTGATTCCTGAGATCAAGCTGTACTTGGAATGGTGGGTGGGTAGTAGGCCTTCAATGGTCCTGCCCACCCTTTGCAAAGGGTTTCATTTGGTAGATGGTATCATGCTAACCTCTCTGCAGACGTAGAAGAGCATCTGAAAGCCAAAGAAACATATCTAGAGGCCCGAGGATGGGCGATGCAAAGATCAGGCACGGCTGTGACATTCTCAGGACCTTTATGGTTGAATAAGGCACAGGTAACACCTGAGATTAATAAGAGAAGAAAAAAAATCCTCCAACACCCCGTGTCTGTTAATGTTAAAAGGAGAGTTTGAATGAAGGTACCTTGTGTGGGTAGAAAATGATGCTCCTAGAAGCCATAGATTACTGAATGAAAATCCCGTGCCAGTGACAAGCTACCTCCCAATGGGCTGTTGATCAAGAACTCTGAAACATTATTGCTGTTGTTTATGCCCAGCAGGACCAAGTGGTAAGACCCTCTTTGGCGAAGACAAAAAACACTTGGGTCGTAGGACGTAGCAAAGGCAAGCTGGGACTGAGCTAGAAGCTTCCACACTATTGGCTAGCTTTAGAAGACACTATGCAGGTTGCTGGAGAATCAACAGCGGAAGTCCTTCCCCACAATGGGCCCTGAGCGCTACACTACCAATATGCCAGTCACGGTGTGCCCAGTGCAATAGTGGCATGACTTTATAGTAGTAACTGCAACACGAGTAATAAAAGCCCAGAGCTAGATATGGGGGTTCAAGCTGAAGATCAGAACTGCAAAGCAGTAGCTCTTACCTCTATCAAGGCTGAGATGGAAATCCTGTCTTCCCTGAGTGAGAACTGAATCTCACATGAGATCCTTTGCTTCTTCCTTATGTACCTCTCTAGGACTGAATTAAAGATGTGAGCTCTGTTACTCTTTTAGACTGATTCACTCTTATGTGGCCCCGGGTCGCCTTGAACTCAGATCCACCTGCCTTTGTCTCCTGAGTTCTGGGATGAAAGGTGTGTGCCGCCACTGCCCAGCTTCTGTGGCTGACCAGTGTGACTGGCTTTGTACTCTGATCATCAGTGGCTTTAGTAGATCATAAACAATACATCACAAGTAAGCAACTGCTTTCCAATGGAACTGAGGACTGCCCCACAGGAAGAAATTCATCCATCATCCAAATTCAGTCAAAAGCCCATAGCTGGGGAGATCACGGACACTAACGAGGAGGCTATTGTGGTTTTGCTAACTGGGCACAATGTGTTTATGAAACTGCCTTCTAAATATACGTCTATGCCCCCAGACTGGTGCTGTCAGCTTTGTTCAGAGAAATTTCTTTTGGCAGTGCCGTGTGCTTATGATGGGACATCTATAACACACCCTCAAAATCTCAAGGAATGTTCAAGAGTGTGTAGAAATAAAGTAAGACCCAGAAGAGGGGGAGTGCTGTGACATGCTGTTCGCTGGTGGTGTCCTCTTGAACTCCCAACACCTGCCACCCTCACCCCTCCATGAGAACTGCACGGGACTGAGCACATTGGGCTTCCATCATGGAAGTGAGGGGCTTGTGAGGCGCTCCTACCCCTACCGCACCCCCTCTCCCCCGCCCCTGCAAGGCTTTATAAGCAGTTAAGGTTGCTGAGGGAAGAGATGGTTTTTGTTTTGTTTTTCCTTTTTCTTTTTTAAACAGGATCTTACCCCAAGCTAGGAACTGAACCTAGCATTTTGTGCATGCTCAGTGTCAAGCTGGGCACAATGGCTCACACCTTTAATCCCAACCCTCCTAAGGCAGAGGAAGGAGCATCTCTGAGGTTGAGGCCAGTCTGGCCTACATAGTGAGTTCCAGGTCATCCAGTGAAACAAAGTGAGACACTGTCTCAAAAATAAATAAGGAGGCTGGAGAGATGGCTCAGAGGTTAAGAGCACTGACTGGCTGCTCTTCCAGGGACCCAGAGTTCAATTCCCAGCAGCCACATGGTAGCTCACAACCATCTGTAATGAGAACCAGAGCCCTCTTCTGGCCTGCAGGCAGAACATTGTATACATAATAAATAAATCTTAAATAAATAAAATAACTTCAAGCTAAAATTTTTATTCATGTATTTATTCCACAGTCAAAGAAATCATAATTTAAAGTCATAGCATTACTAAAGAGAATTTCTGGTACAGCTGTCTAAAGTACAATCCTGACAGGTGTTCTCTTTCCCATGATGGAACAAATACATAACATTTCACTAAGAAGCTGGGTGAGGCAAATTACCCTTTGAAACAAACTGCCCGAAAAACAGAGGCAGATTGCAAAAATTTCTATTAACATTTCACTGCAAGATGGAAAAAGTCCCAGGTGGCTGGCTAACTGGAACTCCTCATTTCACATGCTTGACCCTCAGCTCTGTCTTCCTTCCACAGTCACAGCTAAACCCAGAAAGGACTCTGCAGTCCCTGCTTAGCCCCAATCTCGGAGGCCCTGAGCACAGACTGCCTGCCATTAATGAGGCTGTGAGCAACTTGTATCCAGAGCCTCCAGGGAAATCAGGGGCACAAACAGGCTCAGGGTTGTTTCCTGCGACAGTGTATTAACTGTCAAACCAGCGCTGACACCTGACAGACCATCTGCATTTCACAAACCAAAGCGCTTGTGCTCTCATCTTTTCCTTTGTTTGCAAAAATGTTAGTAGACCATCCAAGTGGAAAAAAAAAACAAACAGAAAAGTGAAAATTCAAAGGGTTTGTGCCACAAAGTAACCCAGTCCTCCACAGGCTAACTCATTTATTTTTGGGCTGGGAAGCCATGTAGAGGGCAATCAGGCAGTAGATGGTCCCTCCCACAGTCAGCGCCATGGTGGTCCGGTAAAGCATTTGGTCGGGTAGGCCTCGTTTCAGGTGGATGGGCACACCGTCAGCCTTCTGGAAAGCAAGGATTGACAGTGAGCTGGCTTATAAAAGAAGCTTTTACAACAGACGGGAGAAAGTCTGTCCACCATGGAAACTACTCCAGAAAGGCGATACGGTGGGACACCGATGCACCACAGGGTGGCAAAGCACTGCTTACTTCCTTCAAATGGAGCCAGGTCTTAAGTATGAAGTACACGCAAAGTCCATGCTTCTACGGCCTTTACCGTGTTGTTACTCTGCCAAGAGAAGGGCCCTGGGGAGTTTTTAAAGAGCAAAGACAATCAGAGCTAAACAAAGCCCAGGCACAAGAACGCTCTCTGAGCATGTCTGCATTCCATTTGGCTCGGAGCACAGTCAGAACACGGGCCGTCAGTAACACTCCGGTCCATTTGTAGCCAGGCCTTCCTGCCTTCCATCACCTGGCTAATGCCCTCGCTTATGATCCAGTCCTGTAGGACATTTATTATTTCATGTTTTGTACACACTGCAGTAGCCTCTTGAACCTCACTCATCAGATTTAAAAGACTTCCACTGAGCAATGTGAAAGTGCTCCATAGCCAGGGTGGACCTGAACCGAACACACTTTTGTGGGAGAAGCAACCTTGCAGTGACAGCTGTAGTGGGCACTACCACTCTCCAGCACTCGAGGGTCAGGTCACTAAGTAGATTAACTCCAGGTCCTGGGGGTTCAACAGCTTCTTCTGTCCTCTGTACATATGTGACATACAGATACACATACAAGCGTGTGTGAGTGAGTGTGTGTGTGTGTGTGTGTCATACATAAGTAGGCACTGGCTGATTCAGAGTCATTACATACACTCTTGTGTTTTCCTACAGTAACTATGAGGAACCATACTACGTGAAGAATCTGAAAATTTGAGCATGTTACATGGTGATGAAGTCATTAACTACTCTCCCTCTATTACTGGTATCTACCTTTAAATAGTTTCTATAAGCTAATGGAGCAAACTGAAACCAAGAGTTCTACTTAAAGGAGGCTAGGTAGACAACAACACTGCCGTAAACCCCAGCTTCAGAAGCTCCCACCCATACACACATCTAAGCATTTCAGTTCTCTGCTCCCGTCTTCGCTCACCTGGAAGAATTTCTGCAGCTCTGGAACTTTGTTCTTCCCAGCATAGTCATATGCTGTCACACTGGAGGTTAGTTTAGTCGGTGTGGCAAATATGATAGGCGGTGCTTCTGTGGAAACCACTGGCTTTAACCCCTGCAGGACAGCAAAGGACAACAGCAAGTCTTGAGTACGTCTGGGCAGCTGAGCTATTTCCGGAAGCAGGCTGTCTGGGATAGTGGACCAGCACTAACCTTATATAACTATATAAAGAGCAGTGTCTCTATCACTTGCATTATGAGGCCTTTGGGTGGTTCTGAACCCTCTGACAAAACACCCTTAACTGCTTTCCCAAAGCAAACTGCCAAGAACTCTAACAGTGAGCTGGAAATGACAGGAAAGGCCCAACATGAGCTTCAAGAAGTACTGTGTCTACAAGGACCATGACGTCCTCTTCTCATCTGAACTAATGCACTAACGCAGAGAGAGCTGTCAATACAGTGCTTGTCCTTGTATGAAGAAGACCTGAGCTCACTCCCCAGCACCATGTATAAGGTTGAGTATGCTCCTGGGAGCTAGCTAGACAGACAGACAGACAGACAGACAGACAGACACAAGACACACACACTTCATTAGTAACAGTACAGAGCAGAGAGCTCTAGCAATAGAAGTAGATTACTGGCTATGTAGAGGAGTGCTGGTTGAAGACAGCTTCCTTTTTGAAGTTATGCAATTAACTGTGGGGGCTGCAGAGAAGGCTCTGCCATTAACAGCATGCACTGCTCTTGTGGAGGGCACAAGTTCAGTTCCTAGCACCCAATGTGGGGAGACATCTCTCTCTTCTACAGGCACCCGAACACAGGTGCATATACTCACACAGAGACATACACAGTTAAAACAATAAAAAATAAATTTTTGTTTGTTTTTTGAGACAGAGTGGCCTGGAATTTGCTGTGTAAACCAAGCCAGCCTCAAACTTACAGACCCACCTGTCTCTGCCTCCCAAGAGGTGGAACTAAAGTTTGTGCCACTTTCCCGAGTGCTGGGACCAAAGGCTGCCTTGTTATTTTGGTTTTTCAGTGTTTTGCCTTGGCTCTCCTGGAACTCTACATATAAAAGCAGGACAGCCTCTTCCTCCCTGGGATTAAAGGCATGCTTGGAGTGCTGGGATTAACGGTGTGTACCACCACCTCCAGGCTGTGGTTTGTTTAAAGAGCCTAAGGGCAGGAGGCTGAGGATGCAGTTCATATCAAAGTGCCTGCTTAACATGTGCAGCCCCAGCACCACAGCAAACACACACAAACCAGAACCAGAGGGAACCCTTGCTCTATCTGAAGGCACAAAGCTGCAAAGCCACACACACAGGCAGGGCTCCATAACCCTGCACACTAAAGCCACACACACAGGCACGTCTCCATAACCCTGCACACTAAAGCCACACACACAGGCAGGGCTCCATAACCCTGCACACTAAAGCCACACACACAGGTACGTCTCCATAACCCTGCACACTAAAGCTGCAGTTTAAGATACAAGCCAGTGACATTACCCCTTAAATTCTAACCAGGAAAAATAAAATGTCATGTTTGAAATAAGTTTCAAGTCTAGCCTCTTCTTACTTCTCAAAGAAATTTATGTATAACCAACAAGACCTAGAGATCAGGCATTTACGACATCAATGCAGAGAGAGGAGAGAGGGTAAGAATGAATTACAAAAATATATTTACATAAAACATTAATGTTGCCTGAACCAACCAGGCATAAATTCTAATCCTAACTCAACCAACCAAATGTACTGAAGCACAGTTGGTCTGGCACAGAAAGGCCCTGTCTAGGGTAATGTGCTCTCTCACTCACCAGGCACGACTATCATTTTATACCAGACACGCCCAAGATTATCAACTGCTGCAACAGCTTTAAATAATCTCACATATCCATAGAAACTCGGAATACAGACTGTTAAGTTCCCGCTTACCTCAGTGTCCTGTCCCATCAGTTCTTATGAAGTGTGCACGCTCCCCAGTGAGGTGCAGCTCTTTTTACTACCCTACACTGTTCTGTGCTCCCACGCTTGCTTCCTGGCAGTCTACTATGTGTGTTAAAATAGAGGGCGCAGCCACTTGGGAGACTCGAGCTCCCCAAGCACCCATCTTATAGAACTAAACCCCAAGTTCTATTAGCAGCTTTAGAGTTCTGCACGGTGCACCCTTCTCTTCAGCCCCATCCTTCTCCTTAACCTCCCCCCACCACCCATGCCACTATAAGCCTCCCTGACTGGAAGCATATTTCTTTGCCTGGAATGGTCTTCAGATTTATTTCTCACCTTAACTCACATGTAGCCCAGGCTGGCCCTGAACTCTTGATCCTACCACTTCTGTGTCCTGAGTGATAGGATTATGGCACCACACCCGGCTCCAATCACCCTTTTAAAAGCCTCATGTCCTCCTCCCATCCTGCAAACAAGCTAGCCCACTGCCATGCCTTGTTCTTCTCCACAGCACTTGGCCCCCATCAAACATGCTACATCCTCCTTTATTCCCTGTCTCCCCCTTGTGCAACACACACCCCGCAAACGCAGGGCTCTAGCTTGCTCTGATCACTGGTCGTATTCCCAGGACTAACAAAAGTAACTGACAGACAGCACCTTCCATACACACTAACTGCCAAACACGCAACCGCACTAAAGAAGGCTACAGCTTCACCACAAAGTAGACTCATAACCCACGTCTAACTGGCACTCTCCAGGACAGTCTCCACTCCTGTAGCAATGGGGAAACTCCTGAAAGATCCATTAAACGAAGAGAAACCAGGCTTTACTTTTCATACTGACTGTACATAACCCCTACCTCTAAACAGTCTACAACACTTACATTCTTCCTGTTTAATTGCTAAAAAGCAAGAAAGGAATGCGTCTTGGAGACTGAAGACAGGGCCACAAGAATGCTAAGCAAAGGCTTGACCACACCTCCTCCGGTGTCTGTTGGAAATTGTGTTTTGTGCCAGCACACTGGTTTATTAAGGACGGTGTGAGCAGTAGTGGGTTTGATGGTACTGCCTGTCCAGCTCAAATTAAAACAAACAAAACAGGTTGTGCATACTGTATGTGTGGATGGGTAGAAGGGGACAGCACATCTGTGTACACAAGAATGCAGATGCTCGAGAAGCCAGAGACAGCATCACATCCCTTGAAGTTAGGAGTTACAGGTAGTTGTCAGCCAACGCATGAACCTGGGTACTGACAACCACACTTTGGTCCCCTGAAACAGCAGTAAGAGCTACTTAGTGGAGAGCCACCTCTCCCGCCTCCAGTTGAAAGGTTTAAAAAGACAAAGTAAACCTGATTCCCCTTCTAAAGCTGATTGGCTCAGCATTTTCTTCTACCTTTTAGGACTGAGGAGGGAGGAGGTAGAAAATTATCCCCATTTTAAAAAAATGTCTTTAATGGGGGCTGGAGGGAAGGCTCAGATGGTAAGGACACTTGTTCTTGTGAGCCAGTATAGTGGCTCACAACCATCCTTAACTCCAGTTCCAGAGGATCCAATGCCTTTTCCTGATCTCTGTGGGCACTAGACATGCATGTGATGTACATATATCCATGTAGGTAAAACACTCATACACATAAGGTATATAAAAAGACAGTCTTTATATGCTACAAACTATCAGTTGTTCACCCGTGATGTATGGCTGGAAACTAGGCTAAATCTTCAGTGGCTCAGATCATTTTGTCACCATGTCCCTCTGCCACCTCACACCCAAAATGCCTCAAATTCACATCAACCCACCCGGAAGCTCCCCGTCTCTAAGGAAAGCACCACCACCCTCACATTCCCATGGCTCCTCGGATACTCCTTTCTCATCTCCAGGACACCACTCATCAGTAAGGCCATATTCTACCCCAAATGTCTGCACCAATCTCCTATTAATTTCTTACAAAATGTAGTTATTCTTATCATAGGCTCTTCATGATTCACCTCCACAGCCAAACTTACTCAACAACCCTCCTTTCTCCCCTTACTCCCCCACACTAGACAATCATTCTAGTATCATAACTAGAATTGCTGCTGAAATAGTAAAATTATATTTCCCCTTATAAGAAACTACCTTGCTAGCTAATTTTATGCAACTGTACACAAGTTGGAATCAGGGAAGTAGGACTCAGTTAAGAAAATGCCCTCATCAGATTGGCCTGTAGGTGGTGCCACTCCTGGGTTGGTGTTCCTCAGGGCTAAGAGAAGGCAGACTCAGCAAGTCAAGAGGAGTGAGCTAGTAAGCAGTGGTCCTCTGTGGCCGTGGTTCTCAACCTGTGGATCACACCCAATTGGAGGTCAAATGACCCTTTCACAGGGATCGCCTAAGAGCATCAGAAAACACAGTTGCATTATGTCTGGTAACAGTAGCAAAATTACAGTTAAAGTAGCAATGAGGATAATTTTATAGTTGGGGTCACAATGTGAGGAACTGTATCAAAAGGTGAAAGCATTAGGAAGATTGAGAACCACTATGGCTCTGACTTTACTCAGTGATGGAGTGTGACGGAGAGGTTTAACACAAAATGAACCCTCTCCTCCCCAAGTTGCTTTTGCTCGTAGTCTTTATCACAACAGTGAACACCCTAACTAAGACACCATCAACTTGCATTCCAAAGTGGTTGCAGCATTTTAAATTCTCTCCAGCAATGCAGTGGACATATGGTTTCCCTATATCTTCACTTCTACAAGCTGTTGTCTGTCTTTTTGACTATGGGCATTCTGGCAGGCATGAGGTGGTACTTCACTGCAGTTGACTAGTAATGTCAAGTACCTTTTCATGTGCCTCAGTTTATTTGTGGGATATATCACAAAAAGGAAAAACGGTGCTTTTTCATCAGTCTCTATAAAAATACTTCCCCAACCATTAGTCGCCATCAAAATGACTTGCAAATCTCTGTGTTATTGTTACAGAAGTGGCATTTCCATATTTGGCTGTTTAATGCATGTTACTTATTCACTTGAAGTAACACTGAATGGCTCAACATTTTCATCTTACAGTGAACTCACTGTGTCCAAGAAACAAGACAAAATACTACTAATTATCAGAATCAGAGCACTAAGTTGTGGGAGGGATCCTGGAGGGGTTCCTGCAAATACTACAGTGATCCAAGTGAGGCAAGAAGAAAATCAGTTCAACACAACTTAGCTGGTGTTGGCTCAAACTTCTAGAGTCTGACACGGCTTCCCCCCCAGCAGTTTATTTTGACATGTTTAAGCACAGAACAACTTTGGAAAAGTTTCCTCTGACAATTACCACAACAGAGCTTAAGGCATGACTACATGCCTTTGCAAAGTGCATGTCTTTTGCAAAATACCTACGACCTCTTCCAAAAGAATGGATCCTACTGACAGATAAAACAGTTCTCAGGATAGGGATCTGGAGTAAGCCCAGCAGTAGATTCTTTTGCAAAGTATCCAAAGGACCTGGGTTCAATTCCCAGCACTCACATGGGCAGCTGACAACTATCTGTAATGCCATAATCCAACACCCTCACAGAGACATACATGTAGGCAAAACACCAACGCACACAAAATAAAAATAAATTATTTTTTTAAAATAGCAAAACTATTTATACCGATAAACGTCAAAATGGGAAGACAGGGATTTCCAATAGGGACAGAGTGTGTGAGACCTCCCTAAGGGTGATATAATTAGTGACCTACATACTAATAAAGGAGTGGGTTAAATGGCATATGCACGCCAAAGCATATGTCTATGCACTGAAAATTCACTATAGAAGATACAATGAGCTGGAAGGTGGTGGTGCACCCCTTTAATCCCAGCACTCAGAAGGCAGAGACAGGCGGGTCTCTGTGAGTTCCAGGACAGACTCCAAAACTACACAAGAGAAACCCTGTCTCGAAAAACAAAACAAAAAACAGCTAACAAAAAAAGACACAATGAAAGCAGCACTAGTCGACATCTCTGTACAAGAAAGCAGTCAGCATAGTGGCAACACTTTGTTACAGCTCATTACACGAGGCTTCAGTGACATCACACTAGCTCCCTTTCTAGCCCTGGACTGTTCTTTGGACACATTTTCCTCATTTCGTTCACATTTCTGTAACAGAACGACAGTCTCTTTCTTCCTTATGTGCTTCCTGAATGATCTCTCCGTCAGCAAGGAGCCTACTACCAACCACGGACTGAAAACAGCCGGGTCTATTAAACACCGTATTCATAAACTCAGCCGCTACAACATGTTATTAAAGCTGAATACCTAAAATCTCAAGACTTTTCTTCCTTGTCCTCCCCTAAAAGCAAATTCAGTCCTTCTGGACCTCCTTTATCCTGAAAGCACACCTGATCTTGGATTGATCATACTTTAACACTCTCATCTTAACCAAGATGCAGTGTTCCACAGCGGGAGAAAAGAGGCAATAACAACACACGGAGTATGTTTGACAGTCCATACGGGTCACTTACTATTCTAGTCAAGGTTTTCCAGCTACGTGTTCCACCAAGCTTTCTCACACTACTCTGAGCACTGACTCAACTGCAGCTTTTGGAGAATATGTAACATTTATCCAGCACCATCTGCCCAAACAAAAAATCCGCTGCTCTCTTGACACACACCGCATTTAACCCAAATTAATGCTACCGAATCAAAACGGGCTCACAACAAAAAGTTAACGGCCAAGGGTCACAAAATTAGGGCTGCTAAACTCATTACCAACCCAACATGAATGGAGCTCTAAGGAGCCACATTTTCACAACACGGAGGCTGGACACGGAATCACCATCGGTGGTCTCTAAGTAGAACCTGAATGTCCGTTCGCCCAGCAGTCAGCGTCTGCTACTTTATAATTAACGAAAGGGCAGATACACCTCGCGGCGTGTCACGTCCCATGACGTCCCTTGCATTCGAAGAAATCCGCCTCGCAGGCAAGCGTCTCAGTTCCGCCCTTCTGGGCCGTGACAGGGGTAGCAAGGGGAAGTCACACAGGCCACCTCAACAAGGGGCAGCGGGAACCCGAACGCAAGTCACATCCTCTGCACCACAGATGTCCACCGGGAGGCGGCCACCCCAGGGGTCACCTTGACCCGCTTTAGGGTAGCAGGCCGAACCTGCGTGCCACGAAAACCTGGCCCAGGGTGCACCACACACACACAGAGGAGTCTCGGACGCCGCCACCAGGCAGCGTGTCAGGCACCGGGAGACACCGGCAAACCGAACCGACCGGCCGGCCGCGGCCTCTCCCGGCTCGGACCCGGCGACCGCCTGCCTCGGGCCGCCGTTCTCCCGCCAGACGCGGCGCGGCACAACTCGTACCTGCGGACTATAGGCTTCCGAGGCCCAGGCTCCAGCCAGCTTCTGCGTGAAGCCGCTGAACTTGTAGTACATGGTGCCTGAGCCCGGCTTCCCACAGCCGCAGCCTGTGCGACCGCCCGAGAGAAGGACCCTGCTTCCCGTTTGGCCCGCCCAAAGCTCGGCGCAGGACCCCGAGCCAGGATGCGGACTGTCCAGAGAGCGCCTAACTGAAGACGTGCTCTCTTAAGCAATGTCAAGGAAACAAAAAGCGTTCTCAAGGCAGTGAGACGAAAACAAGATCTAAAAGAACACGGGAAGAGGCCGTGTTGAGACTTTCCGAAAAAGGCAGGCATCTCTCTGCCGCTCATTTAGAGGCGGGCAGTGCCGAGACGTCTTGATAAATGCGCAAGCGTCCTGTGGCCCAAGCCGGCAGCTGAGAGCGCCACAGTCGGACAGGGCGGAGCCTGGCATTGGGGCAGGGCCTGGCATTGGAGCGGGACATGGCATTGGGGCGGGTTCTGGGGCGGGGCCTGGCATTGGGGCGGGTTCTGATGCTGGAACAGGGCCTGGGGCGGGGCCTGGCATTGGGGCGGGTTCTGGGGCGGGACCTGGCATTGGGGCGGGTTCTGATGCTGGAACAGGGCCTGGGGCGGGGCCTGGCTCTGGGGCGGGGCCTAGCATGGGGCGAGGGCAGGATCCCGGGTCCAGTCGAGGGTTAGTTTGTATCTGTTGAAAGGACTTTAGTACCGAGGGCTGTTAGGAATTCCACCTCAGTTGCTGTAAGAACTGCCTCAATGCCAAGAAAGTGACAGGAAAGGGGAGAGAGGGAAAGGGAGGGAGAAAGCGAGGGTGAGAAAGAGAGAGGGGAGAGGAGGAACTTACAAGCTTTGTGTGGAGGGCGTACACTTAACCTAAACTTAAAGCACCTATGTGTACATTTTGCACCTTCTGAGAGCGAGAATACCGTCATCTGCATTTATGGGCATTGGCTGCGCATCTCGTTCCTGGCCTCTGTCCTTTGGGATAAGCACCTGCAGGGAGGTGACTGGAAACGCTGGTGAAATCTCTACCGCCTGCTTGAAAGATGTGCAGTTAACAGCTTTCCGGCTATAGTGGAACTCGGTGCAATGTGGAGTGTGTTGTTAAATATGGAATAAGGACCGGCATGGTAGATGGAGCACAATCCATGGAGAGTATATTAATCATAGATTATTATAGCGAGACTGAAAGGGGGAGACAGACATGACAGAGAGAGAAGATGAGAGAGGATGAGATAGAAAGACGAGAGTAAGAGAGGATGAGATGACGAGAGTAGGAGAGGAGTAAAAGAACATAAGCGGGCAGGGGTCAGTCCTTTAAGGGGGTCCTTTGCACCTGCGTGGTTCTCACAGAACTCTGGGCTGGCCAGAGTGTTGCCTGAGTGCATCCTGCCAGGTAACAGGGCAGGCCAGCGTAAAGCCTGGACCTTTCAGAGTGGTTTCAAGTTTCACTGTGTGTCAAAACTTCATAAAGGGAGTGTACTGATTTCTTACTCTCCAGGGACGGAGCAAGCTTTTAGTTCTATCATCTAACCAGAAGTTTTGCACGCACATTATAGGCTTATGTATACTACATATTAAATGTAAGTTGGCTAATGGATACATTGTGCTTAGCTTGACAAAGAATTTTCCATAGATGTGTTGAATCTCCACAACAGCCCTGTGAAGCGGGTACTGTGACCATCTCTATTTTTATGGCAAAGGAAAATAAGGCTCGGGAGGAAAAAAAAAAGAAGCAACTTGCTGAGGTCAGCGATGAGAGGCAGCGTTAGTCATCAGGCTCAAGATCCTGTACCTTGATCGCTGTATTACAGATAAATACATAAATCCATTCTACGAAGAAAAAGATCGGGCTGAGCGCTCTAGAGCCAGGATAGACACTGGATATAATCCTGTCTTTGTATTCCGCACCTCTAATACCATGGATAGCAAAGATTCCGGCAGCTTCTAATGATAAGCCAATCAAGTTACTGCCATGGTATAATGTTTTTAAAAAATGCAATTTCAGTTTGAATGTCAGTTTCCCCACAGCTGGATGATTTGAGGCCAGTCGTGACTCTTCTTTGGAACCTCATTTGCCTCCTCGATGGAGGAATAGCCATCATTACCCTGCTTTCCTCACTCATGGTGGTCTGAGACTCAACCACTCAGTAAATTATACAATTTATGCTAAGCTCATGACCTACCCTGTTGGTTCTTTCTCTTTTCCACAGTACCTGGCTACAGATAAGAAGCTTAATTACCATGGTTATTTAATTAACATGGTCACATCTTGGTTACTCGAATTCACTGGTTCTCAACCTTCCTAATGCTGTGACCCTTTAGTACAGTTCCTCATGTTGTGGTGACCCCCCAACCATAAGATTCTTTTGTTGCTATTTCATGAATGTAATTTTGCTACTGCTATGAATTGTAATGTAAATGTCTGACATGGGACCCGAGGGGTCATGACCCACAGGTTGCAAACCACTGCTCCAATTCCTCTCAAATTAAACAAATGCTGGAATTCTTTATCCTAAGGAAAAATGCTAATCTTGTTAGCGATACTGGGTGGAAGGAAAGGGTTTTTTCCCTAGATTTATATGGAAAAAAAACTGAATGGTTCAGGACATCCTTTATCCCCTCCTATCTTCTGGACATATTTTGGAAGAAGTAGGAATATTTCCTAACCTCCAGCAACACTAAGGTGTGGCAGCTTCTCGAAATATAAAGGTGCCTGTCAACACTGGTTTTTTCTTGAAGTCCCTGCCTTCTGATTTTAGATCCTGCAAGACACAATTTAAGAATCCTGAAAATGTTACAACAGCCGGGCTGTTCAGTGGGAGATAAAATGTCAGTAGCAGAGTGTGGGCTGGGATGTCACATGGAGTGGCTGATCATGGAAAGATTTTTTTTCCCTCATTTCCCAAATAAAATGCAGCACATGCCGACAGTAATAAAGCACTCTTTCCTCATTTGAGTTTGCACATCCCACCCAACATCAGACATCTTCATTTTTTTTTTAACATGATGCCTTGAGGTCCTTTCTCCAGATCTTAGTCTGAGGGGTAGTGACCAGGACCCAGACAGTAAAGCAGCTGCCAACTGCTGAGTGAATGCAGACACCGGTTGGAAGGATGGCTGTTGACTTAGAAAGAAGCCCTGTGTCTCCATTTGTGAGGGCTGTGTGCTAATGGCCTCTGGCAGGCTGCTCTGTGAAAGCATTTAGGCCATGGATGGGTAGCCAATATACATCTTAAATTGAGTTATGCTCAACATAGACAGGAATGATCTTGTGAAATAATTCTTAAATTCTAATTCTCTGATTTTCCTAAGATTGGCTTTTTTTTTTTTTTTGACACTTGGTAGTAGGTAAGGCGGAGCTGAAACATGGGAGTCTCATAACAGGTGAGGTGACTGTGACCCCTCTTTTGGTTTCCTTACACTTCTGTTTCAAAGGATTCCTGTATTACTTGCTTTGGTGTCACCTGTTAGAAGTAGAAATACAAGGGTTTTTTGTTTTTGTTTTGCTTTTGGTAAGCATTTGTCTGGGGATATTGACCATGAAGTGACATCCTGGGTGGAGTCCCAAAGCCCCACCCTTCCTGGCTTTATTGCTTATTTTGTGGTCAAACATGTGGACTGAATGGCCCTTCCTATCCTGTGAATGGACATGTGTGCAGATGGGTTGTAGCCATTTTGAGTTTGTGTCCCTAATGGGAAAATGAGGTAGGGCCAGATGTGATGTCACAGTGACATGATACTCTTGTAGCTGTGACTTACATCTGCCATCCCTGGGAGAGGTAGCTATTTTTTCCAATATTTGATCTGTCAATCAGCCTCAAGAAAGCCATTTCCAGCAAAGCATTGGAAAACCATCCTGAGAGCTAAACTCACTTTCTGATATTTATGGTGACACTCGATGCAACTATTTGGTAATTTTCTTTTTCTTTCTTTTTTTTTCTTTTGGATTTTTCTGGAGACAGGGTTTCTCTGTGTAGCTTTGTAACCAGGCTGGCCTCGAACTCACAGAGATCCACCTGCCTCTGCCTCCCAAGTGCTGGAATTAAAGGCTTGCATCACCACCACCTGGCTCGGTTGTCATCTCTTACTCCTTTTTTTTTTTCTTTTTGTCAAATAAATCCCCTTAACTGGTGTGGGGATTTTCATCCTCAAAACCTAAAATCTAGTGTTATAGTGATATTTAAAAACAGCCCTTTGTGGAAACCTGGCATATTCTTACAGGGGAGCAGAGGGTCTGAATGGCACATTTCTAACGCAAAGGGCAGGGAGGTGACAGCTGGGACTGCAGTGGCTAGAACAGCTTTATTGCAGTTTGGGATGAACATACTGGCATCAGCTCCCTACCCTGACCTTCTTCTCGTTGTTGACTGTCAATATGGCGCAGAAGCTGCCTCCGGTTTGCCTGCTCGCCCGCCTGCCTTCCTTACAAGCAAGTCAAAAAGCACATCCAGGAGGATTATGGATTTAACTCAAGTTTGACACATCACATTTCATTCCACTGGTAAAGAAAGGCTGAGGTATGACTCATAATTTATTTTAAATCATTTTAAATACACTTAATTATGCACAGAAGAAAAACTTGAGCTCCGAAACGAGATTCGTGCTACTTTACATTAAAATCATCTATAAAAATACAGCACGGATAATGTTCTGTCTAGAAACGAGAAGGGAAATAAATAGTGGCCTGACCTGGCCTGGGGACGACAGAGGGGCAGAGGGGCACTCCTAGTCCCTGGGCATCCTTGCTCTCTGTTTTACACATGGTCTGCAGGACTCAGATATTTTACAGTGTGTACACATTACCTTCATAAGTCCACGTACACACATACAATTACACGGATTCCCCAAGAGATGACATGCTGTGGTGACATACACTTTTGATGGCAGTGTCAGGAAACACAGGCGGTTGCATCACTGTGGTTTCAGGCTAGCTTGATCTACATAACGAATTCGAGGCCAGCCAGAGCTACATGGTGAGATTCTGTCTCTAAAAAAAAAAATCTCCAAAAGACATAAAAGTCAGAATTTAGAAAATGTTTCTGCTGTATGTATACCCAAATTAATAATTAATTTAATTTAAGGTATTCTTTAATCACCCTGAGTTGATGTGAGGAACTATTGAGTGACAGTTTCCAAAT